AAACCAGAAAGGGTTCTGGCGGGGGGGGAAGAGGGGGGGGACACTTAGTGTCTGCCATAGGGATTAAGAGCGTGAAGGGGTGCAGCCTTCTCTGTAGGTTGCTGCCCGGGTAGAGGAGGGCCAGCTGGCAGGGACTCCCACTGGCGAAATTGTAGACAGTTTTGACAGTACAGATAAGAAGGCCTCTAAGGAGTTACACACTGAATTTTTAAAATCCATAGCGAGAAAAAAAAGCAGTAGTGTGTGGCCCCTCCCGCGGGTTGGTCCCTGCTGCGAGCCTGAGGTGGGGGGAGGGTCTGACTTAGCAGCTAAGTGGCAGAGTGACCTCGGCAGGTCATCTACCTTGTGCTGACGTCCCCAGCTCTCGTGATTTTTGTCCCTGCTCTCTTGGCTGCTTGTTTTGAGAGTCAGATGAGATGAGAGCTTGCTTTCCCGAGGGACCCTGGGAGGCCAGAGTGGCCCCTGGGAGACGGGCGCCCTGGGGAGGAGGCTTCTTCCCAGAGCGGCCTCACTGAGGATTGATCACAATACGAGTGTCACTAAAGCGGGAAGCTTGGGGGTCAACCAAGCAGGGTTTGGGAATTGCTGGGGAAGGGGTACGACTCTGGCGTCTGGGGGGGAAGGGGTACTGAGAGAAGGGGCAAGGGTGGGAGTCAGGGCCTGGGGCTGGGAGCATGTTCTGGAATGGGGTTTCATTTTCGCAGGAGTTAGATGGGAGCACCCACTGATCCTATGGAATAAGGGACGTGGGCTGGGAGTGGTCTCGTGGTCTGGCAAATGGAGACGACAAGGGAAGGAGGAGACGGTGCTGGGAAATTGGGATTCTCCAGATGCCCAAGAAATGTCCCTGATTGTTGTCCTTTTTGCTTGTCAGGCAACCATCGGCCTGATCAGGAATCTGGCCCTGTGTCCAGCCAACCATGCCCCTCTGCAGGAGGCGGCGGTCATTCCCCGCCTCGTGCAGTTGCTGGTCAAGGCTCACCAGGATGCCCAGCGCCACGTGGCTGCAGGCACACAGCAGCCGTACACGGTCAGTCCCCAGGGGTCAGAGTGGCCTTTTTGTGAAGGTGTGTGCACGTGTGTGTAAATGGGGAGGCAGGTTGTGGTGGATGCACACTGTGAGGACCAGTGAGGTTTGTCAGATCGTCACGGTGGGGGCGTGCGGCCACGTCCAAGGGCCATCTGTTGCAATGTCCCACCGCCTCCTCTTATGCAGGACGGCGTGAGGATGGAGGAGATTGTGGAGGGCTGTGCCGGAGCCCTGCACATCCTCGCCCGGGACCCCATGAACCGCATGGAGATCTTCCGACTGAACACCATCCCCCTGTTTGTGCAGGTGAGTCTGGGGCAGGGAGGCAGGAGAACTCCCTCCAGTCCCCGCGCATCCCCGTTGCTGAAAGGGGAGCTTGGCAGCCTCTCTGGGCCAGGCGTCAAGAGGCGTTTGGAGGAGTTTGGAGGAAAGTGGCCACGCCAGGAGTGACCACTTAGCAAATCCCTGCATAGGAACGGCTCTCCGAACTCAAAAGCAAGGGAAGAGATCACAAGTGAAAAAAAATAGCTTAAGATTCAACCACATAGCCACGAAAATCATCTATATGTCAGAAACAGCCTAAAAAGCATTAAAAAGTCGACACCAGGGGTGCCTGGGTGGCTCAGTCAGTTAAGCATCTGACTCAGTTTCGGCTCAGATCACGATCTCACCGTTTGTGAGTTCAAGCTATGTGTCAGGCTCTGTGCTGACAACACAGAGCCTGCTTGGGATTCTCTCCCTCTCTCTCTCTCAACTGTATCTCCCCCACTCATGCACGCGCGCGCACACACACACACACACACACACACACACACACACAGTCTCTCTCTCTCTCTCTCTCTCTCCCTCTCTCTCTCAAAATAAATAAACTTAAAAAAAAATTCTCTCTCTCCCTCTGCCCCTCTCCCCCACTCATACTCTTTTTCAAAATAAAAGAATAAGATAAATAATAAATAAAATAAAAAAATAAAAATAAAAAAATCAACAGCAAACTGGGAAAATGTTTCCAGGTATCACAATAGACAAGAGTCTAATATCCTTCATATAAAAGAGCTCATTAATACTAGACCCCAGGGGTTAGATGGGCAGAGGCAGAAGCAGTTCCCAGGTGGCTCATAAACAGTGCCCAACCCCAGGAGTTTAAAGAAGAGAAGCTCACATTCCCAGTGAGATCCTATTTTCCACTATCAAAATGGCAAAGGCAAAAAAATGGGAGTGCCCTGTGCTGGCAAAGATGTGATGAAATAGGCAGTCCCATATCCTGCTGGTGAGGAGAGAAGATGATAAAACCTCTCCAGCAGGCAGTTCTACAATCTATATAGAGAGCCTGAAAATATTCATATCCTTTGACTAAGTAGTACAAGTCTTATGAGATAATTATTTATTAATTTAAAATGTGGCAGAAATGTATACCTATCCAACAATCGCAATGTTACTTATAAGAATTGAAAACAAAATGAATGTCCAATGATAAGGGAATGGTTTAAAAAAGAATGGCCATTATATCATATGGCCATATATAGCGATGTTAATGAATTTTTGCTTTTGAAATTTTCCCATTTATTTATTTATTTAATTAATTTACTTTTAAACGTTTATTTTTGAGAGAGAGAGAGAGAGCACGTGTGTGACCAGGGGAGGGGCAGAGAGAGAGGGAGACACAGAATCCAAAGCAGGCTCCAAGATCTGAGCTGTCAGCGCAGATCCCAACCTGGGGCTCAAAGCCACAAAGTGTGAGATCCTGATCTGAGCCAAAGTTGGATGCTTAATCGACTGAGCCACCCAGGCTTCCTGAGAAATTTTTTCCCTTTAGAGTTCAGAGTGAGGGATTGGCACTGTTGTGACCTCCTATTGTGACCAATGGGTTTTTTTTGTTTTTGTTTTTGTTTTTGTTTTGCTTTTTAGCATTACTCTTTTTCTCTTATCAATATGAGCTCATAGATTTCTAGGAAATGGTTAGGAAAATGCCTTATGCTACAATGTTAGGTAAAAAAAAAAACCCAAACAAATAGGAATCAAAGTATCAAAATACATGCTATGGGGGGAGGGGGGGCGTGCCTGGCTGGTTCTGTTGGTGGGGCATGAGACTCTTGATCTCCCGGTTGTGAGTTTGAGCCCCACGTTGGGTGTAGAGATTACTTAAAAACAAAATCTTAGGGGTGCCTTGGTGGTCCAGTCGGTTAAGCCTCCGACTTCGGCTCAGATAATGATCTCACGGCTTGGGAGTTCGAGACCCACGTCAGGCTCTGTGCTGACCGCTCAGAGCCTGGAGCCTGCTTCAGATTCTGTGTCTCCCTCTCTCTCTCTGCCCCTCCCCCGCTCACACACACACACACACACACACACACACACACACACACTCTCTCTCTCTCTCTCTCTCTCTCTCTCAAAGATAAATAAACATCCAAAATGTTTATAGATCAAATTTTATAGATAATGAGGTGCCTGGGTGACTCCGTCAGTTAAGCATTTGACTCGGGTTCGGCTTGGGTCGTGATCTCCCAGTTCATGGGTTTGAGCCCCATATGGGGCTCTTTGCTGACAGTGCGGAACCTGCTTGGGATTTTCTCTCTCTCTCTGTCTCTGCCCCTCCCCTGCTCATGTGCACATGTGTACACGCTCTCTCTCTCTGTCTCAAAATGAATAAATAAACTTAAAAAATTATAGATAAGGGGCGCCTGGGTGGCACAGTCGGTTAAGCGTCCGACTTCAGCCAGGTCATGATCTCGCGGTCCGTGAGTTCGAGCCCCGCGTCAGGCTCTGGGCTGATGGCTCGGAGCCTGGAGCCTGTTTCCGATTCTGTGTCTCCCTCTCTCTCTGCCCCTCCCCCGTTCATGCTCTGTCTCTCTCTGTCCCAAAAATAAATAAACATTGAAAAAAAAAATTAAAAAAAAAATTATAGATAAAAAAACAGGACTATGATAAAAATCTGATGGAAATATGCCAGTGTATTAAGAGAGGCTGTATGTGGGTGGGGAATCATGGCTGGCTTTCTTTCTGTTTCTTTATACCTTTCTTAGACTTTCTACCCTTTCTAGTATGAGCTTGTGTTAAATCCAGAAAAGGGAGGCAGAGATGGACAGGGCTGGGAGGCAGGCTGCCCTCCTGCCTGCCTTACCCCTCATCCACCTCCACCCCTTCCCCACCCTGCATGCCCTCTCCCCAGCTCCTGTACTCATCAGTGGAGAACATCCAGCGTGTAGCCGCCGGGGTGCTGTGTGAGCTGGCCCAGGACAAGGAGGCAGCTGATGCCATTGATGCCGAGGGGGCCTCGTCCCCACTCATGGAGCTACTGCACTCTCGCAACGAGGGCACAGGTGAGGGGCTGTGCTGTGGGCGAGGGGGTAACAGAGGAGGGCTGAGTGTTAGTCCTCCAGCCAGAGTGGAGGCAGGCACCTGAACTGGTCTTTCCTTTCCTCTCTGCTCAGCCACCTATGCTGCCGCTGTCCTGTTCCGCATCTCTGAGGACAAGAACCCAGATTATCGTAAGCGTGTGTCTGTGGAGCTCACCAACTCCCTCTTCAAGCATGACCCAGCTGCCTGGGAGGCCGTGAGTATCCTGGGTTGGACTGTGACGTCTGGTTGTGCAAGTTGCACACTGCACAAAGACAGCACTTTTAAGGGGGCTCCTGTCATACTGTCTACCTCATAGATTTTTATTTTGTAATTATTTCTTTAAATTTTTTAATTAAAATTTTTATTTTATTTTTTTTTTTTTGAGAGAGAGGGAGTGCATGTAAATATGCGCACAAGTGGGAGAGGGGCAGAGGGAGAGGGAGAGAGAAAATCTTAAGCAGGTTCCATCCATGCTCAGTGTGGATCTCCAGGCAGGGCTCGATCTCATCACCATGAGATCCTGACCTGAGCCGAAATCAACAGGCAGACACCTAACCAACTGAGCCACCCAGGCACCCTCATTTTTATTTTTATAATTGGATCATCCACGACAATTTCTAGCAGACGGAAGTAATAGGTTGAACTGTCTTTCTGATTTTGACCTGCCAGAATGGTAATTTTATTTTGTCCACACTATACATTCTAAGCATTTGAGGCAGGGTGCCTTTTTCTAACTTGCATGGAGGTGCTCTATAGGCTAGCGGCTGCCCTGATCCCGGGTCCACTCCCGTCCCCAGGGCTGCTCTAGTTCTGTGGGTGCCCCCAAGCATGAATGGTGGGACCTTCCACGCTCGGGAGGTGCCTGACGGGAGGGGTCCTCGGAGGCACTGAATAACCGCATTCCATCCTCTGTTCTTTCAAGGGGTCTTTGTTTTCCCCCGGCCCCCTTTTCTAGAAGCACCTCCAGCCGCCCACCCCCAGCCCAGAGCCTACATTTCCCACCCTTCTCCCTTCCCTCAATGTTTCTCTGTCTCTTTCCTTAGGCCCAGAGCATGATCCCCATCAATGAACCCTACGCAGATGGTAAGTGTGTGCAGAGTTCCTCAGGGACCCCCAAGAGCCTGGGGCGTGGGGCGTCTGTGGGTGTGAGCGAAGGGGGCATTTTGTCCCCGGTGGCAGACACCATATAGAATCCACAGATATCCCCGTGGAGGTCCCCTGATGTGGGAGTTTGAGGACGGGGTCAGGCCCACGGCAGATGGATGGAGGGCTGTCCAGCAGGGTGGTCTTTAGAAGGTCCTCCTTCCTTCTCCTCCCCCCCCAGACATGGATGCCACCTACCGCCCCATGTACTCGAGTGATGTGCCCCTGGACCCTCTGGACATGCACATGGACATGGACGGAGACTATCCCATCGACACCTACAGCGACGGCCTGAGGCCCCCCTACCCTGCGGCGGACCACATGCTGGCCTAGCTGGCTCCTTTCCAGTACGGTGCCCTCTGTCGTGCCTGCAGGCTGTGGAGACACGCTTCCCCCCCACCCCCTGCTGGAACCTGCTTCTCATGGAAGAGGCCCTCTCATGTTTCCTTAGAACCTTTGGCACTTTTGTGGGGGGGAATGAGTGCGGGTCCCTTGCTGTCGAGCACCCGCCAAGGAAGGTGTCTGTGGCCTACCTTACTCTCTTATCTTGAGGGGGTGGGGAGTCCTGCCCCTTTGTGGGTAGTGGGTGGGTGACCTGGCGGGGGG